GCAGTCTGGGTCGATGCACAACTCTGGGAGGGAGAGGGACTCAGGCCGCTTGAGGTAGGCATGCGCGTCCTTCACGTTGCCATGCATGGCCTTCTTAGCCCAGCGCTGAATGCTGAGCTTGCTCTCTTGCCGTGGCGTTCAGCTCGTTCTGCCACTTGAGGTACTGCTTGTGCCCATAAGAGATGCTCAGAGTCCAATTCTGCTTTGCGAACAATGTCAAGAGCCCAGGGATCATCTGCCTCGTTCTGGCGCGCCCTTGCGAAGCTCGTTGCAGGCAGGGGCGGGTGCTCCATCAGTTTAATCTTAGAAATCTGACCACATGTCATTTCTCTAAGCTGCTGTCTTCGGGCCTCCTTGGTGGAAACTGCCAGCTGACGTAAATGAGACCCCAACTCTTTCCATCGATCGCGTCTAACTTGCCCTGGTTCCGGATAGCGAGATTCACGACGTGAGACTGCTGGTGCCATACGATACTTCATTGGTCGTCCCCTTGTCGTCTCTGCCTGGTCCTCTTTGCCACAGAGGATAGCTAACGCGCGGTCTGCCGCTTGAGCCCAACTCTCGCACTGCTGACCCAACTGCATGCTGCCCTCGGTCGTCAACTGGTACGCTAGGCTCCTCTGGGTGAAATCGTCTGGATTCGCATGTTCACAGAGCTCCGCTTGTCGCCGTATATCATGCCAAAGTTCATCCGAAACTGTGGCCAAAACTTCTCTGGAGTAGGTTGGTTCGAGCAGCTTGTCCACGTCTGCTCTCTCTCGTTGAAGTGCCTGCTGCTCTTCCGAGAGGTCCCCATCAGGAGGGAGATCCTCAAGTTCGATCATATTATCTGTAAGTGTTGCATGTGTTTCTCTGTCCCGCTGCTGCCTCTTGATGCCCTTGTCGACGTTCAGCCTGGCGCAAGGGATCTTATGCCGTTCTGCTCGAACGGGAGACACTATTTGTAAGCTGGCTGGCTTCCGAGCGATTCGAATATGTAGCCCAACATGGGGTCTCCATGGGACTGTCGTGACCGCCGAGACGCCTCCCAAGAAAGGTCTGAAGTGTGGCGGGCAGATTTCATAGTCCAGCATACGGCCTCTACCGCTGGTGCACGTGGCGTCCACGTTCGGGCGCACTGGTGTCACTTTGCGCGGCCCACTGGGACTGCATGAACTCCTCTGGCGTAACGTTCCAGTCGCCCACCGCCATCCACGGTGTGGAGATACTTGCCGTCAACTGCGCCAGCTGCTTCATCTTCTTCGCGTTGGGCCCCGCGAGGCCAGGATCACTGCCCAGGTATACGACGAAGAGCGCGATGCGAATGCCACCTTTCAAATCCCAATGCACTACCGCGATGTCATTCAGCTCCTTCTCAAAAGGCGCTTGCCCCCGCGACTGCGGGTAGATGCACTGCTGTCTGAAGATGCGAGCGACGTAGCCAACGCACTCCTTCATGAGTGCCCCCTGCTGATCGCCCTGTCCGAGCTGCTGCCGTCCAAGTGTGCTGGGAGTGCCAGCCCTATTGTTGAAGCCTCTGGGCCTCCTCATCAGTCTTGGTTCGTGGAAGATGATTTTCCACCAGGCCCACCACGTCATATGAGGAATCCAAGATGAACTGTCGAGCCGAAGCATTGCGCTGCGATATATTCGCCACGAATACGCGTAGGCACTGCTTGTCCTCGTCCGTCAGATCCTGCGCGTCACAGATGGGGCCCTGGAAGGTGACTCTGCGCTGCCCGTTAGGAGCTCTTCGTTTATGGTTCTTCCGCCACCGCCGTCTCGTTGCGCTCGCGAATCCGCACCGTGTTCTCTAGAGACCTGTCCACGTCTGCGGGGAAGGTGAAATCGTAAGGCTTTGTCTTTTCTGGTGGGGCCTCTCCTCCTTGGTCATCAGTCTTTTGTTGAGTTCCGCCCGCCGATGCCCCGCCCCTATTGCCACGTCGACGCTTGCGCTATTGGGCCTTATCTGCGAACGTCCTGAGGTTAGCTGCCGCTTCTTTGCGGGCCTGAGTGGCTCCTTTGGCTGCTTCCAACGTGTTCTGTGCCGCCGTTGACGCCTCTTTCGCTAATGTTTACCCCTTCTTTTCCGGTTCCCCCAGGAAAGCTGAGCTCTAGAGTAACTGCTTCATCAACAGTGGCCGAGATTGTTGGAGGCTGTCTTGGGACCCTCTCGCGACATAGGCCCAACTTCTGGTGAGTTCCTTTTTCTGTCATCTTGTTCTTTGTCAGCTTGTCAAGGATGTCTTTTTGCTCTCCTGCATTGCGCTGGAGTCTCTTGCGCAGCTTCTCGCCCGCAGCCGCGACCTTGCGGAGCTCTTGCGCCGCAGCTTCCTACTCCTCGAAGGGCTTTGGCTCTGGGACTGGCACAGGGTCTGGAGCTCGTAACTGTGGACATGCTTGCTCCAGCGACTCCCTCCTTTCTTTGTTGTTGGCTTCGTTTGCTTCTTTGCACTGGTCCGCGAGGAGGGCGACCAGGGCCTGCGTCTGCGGGTCAGGTGGAACTTGTTATGTTTGAGAGTCTGCCCATGCTGTTCCACACTTTGTGCACTTTGGCTTGTCATACATGCGATCACAGAAGACCCAGCTGCTGCCAGAAGGGTCTGCACCTATTGCATACCACAAACTCTCGTCCCGCCTTGGTAGTCTTTCCTCGACCTCGACTGCGATCGCGCCCTGCTTGCAGACCGACCTCGTTGCCTCCAGAGCGGGCGTTGCCCAACCATGATGCCGTAGTAGCCGTCGTGGTTTTGCTGCGACTTCTGCCACACCAGCTGGTGCGCCCTTCAAGCCGCGAGTGCGCCTCGGACCTGCGCGCTGGGCAGGTGCGAACGCGCGGTGCGCGCAACAGTGGGCCCGATGGATCTGCTCCCCTGCAAACCTCCCCAGCCCAATTGCTTGAGGGAAAGCGGGGAAGAAGGGAGGAGGAGGAGGAGGAGGAGGAGGAGGAGGGGGAGGAGGACCAGTGTGAACTCCAAAAGGTGAGCTTGTTCGTATTGTTTCGCCGATCGGCGCGGGCCCTCGCACTCCCCTTCCCCCCCCCCCATGGAGTAGATCTGTGCGGTTTTTGGCGCCTGTTTCAGGCAGGGCCCCCCCCCCCACACACAGGACGCACGGCCCCAAACAGACGCCATTAAGCTGAGGTCCAGGGCCAGACCCCCGTTCCGCCCAATGACGAAACGCCGAATGAAAAAAACGTTTGCAAGTCATCAGTGATGCTGGAATGAACTCTCCCCCAAGCTCCCCTACAACGGTATATTTCCACTGCGGGAACTGTTTCGCTGGAATACAACCGTTTGAAGATTCTGAATCGTGCCGCAACATTATCCCCGGGACTCCAGCGCCACGGATCAACCTGATTGTTGCGTCTTGACGATTTTGAGTCGCGTCACGTTGCCATTCCCAGGATTTCAACATTGCGAGCCAAAGTAATTTTTGCACCCTCATAATCTGGAATTCCTTCAAAACAGAATGTCTTGTACGTTGACCATGGAAGACCCCGACACTCTTGCAATTGTTGAAAAATCAATGTGCGCGGCGCTAAGGCGCAAGCCACACTCGGGAGCCTCGAGACGGGGATCAGTGCAAACGGGGGTCAGCCAGAGCGCCAGATCCTGCAGGGTCCTGCGAAGACCCCCTCTGGCTGACCCGGGTTAGCGAGCCGCTCGTGGCCGCGAGGCGGCCGCGCCTATTGGCTGACCCGGGCTTGCGCAGACCTGCGTTGCATTTTTTTGTCCTGCATTGCAGTTTTTTGTTTCCTGCTGACCCGGGTCTGGATTGACCCGGGTCAGAAGATCGCCGACACATTTTGAAATGGATCCGCCTCAATCCATGAAACTCTTGCGAAGTGTGGAAGCGAATGTGCGCGGCGCGAAGGCGAGAGCCACATGTTGAAAACCACCCGCCATCCATCCGCTAAACTCTTGCAGCTTTTTCGAACGGATGTGCGCGGCGCGAAGGCGAGAGCCACATTTTGAAATGGATCCGCCCTCCATCCATGAAGCCCTCGTATTTGTTTGAAACGAATGCGCGCGGCGCTAAGGCGAGAGCCGCACTTTACAAACCACCTGCCCTCAATCCGTGAAGCGCTTGCACATGTTGTAAAAGAATGTGCGCGGCGCTTATGCAGGAACCACATGTTGAACACCACCCGCCCTCAACCTGTGAAACTCTTGGAGTTGTTCAAGACGAATCTGCGCGGCGCCAAGGCAAGAGCCACATGTTGAAAACCACCCACCTTCAACCAGCGAAACATGCGTGCAAATGTGTGACACGAATGTGCGCGGCGATAGGGCGAGAGCCACATGTTGTAAACCACCCGCCCTCCATCCGCGAAGCTTTTGGCGATTTGTTTAACATGAAATAACCCAAACGAATATGCGCGGCGCGAAGACGAGAGCCCCATGTTGAAAACCACCCGCCCTCAATCCTCTAAATTCTTGGAGTCTTTTCGAACGACTGTGCGCGGCGCGAGGGCGAGAGCCACATATTGAAAACCACCCGCCCATCATCTGTGAAGCTGTTGCCAATGTTTGAGCTTCTCATAAATGGTGAGGAAGTCTCAGGCGCAACGTCCGGCCCGCCCTTTTGACTGGCCTCGGGGTACCACGGGGAGATTTATTATGAACAGGAATGGAGGAGGAGGAGGAGGAAGAGAGGAGGAGGAGGAGGGGAGGAACTGGAGGAGGAAGAGGAGGAAGAAGAAGAAGAGAAGGGCGAGGGGAGGTGGAAGAGAGGGGAGGAAGCAGGAGGCGGGAAGAGAGAGGAGGTTCACGAGGAGAGAGGAAGAGAGAGAGAGAGAGAGGAGAAAACAAAAAAGGAGGAGAAGGAACAGACAGAGACGGAGGAGTAAAGAGGAGAAGGAGTAGGAGAAGGGAGAGCAGGAGGCACAAGGAGGAGGGAGGAGGAGGAGGAGGAGGAGGAGGAGGAGGGGAAGGAGGAGGAGAGAGAAGGAGTTGGATGATGAGGAGGGCGAGGGAGAAGAAGGGAAGCGAGCGCATTATTGGCCGGCCGCCAGCAAGGCCAACACGGGTGCCGTGTACGTCACTGAGAAGGCTGGTCGCATCCTGGACAGGTGCCCGGGGGGGCCAGAAGTGGTCCTGGCCCGAGGGCGCCCCAGCTTGTGGCGCATCTCTGAACATGCCGGGCCCTCTTTGCCTCGTGATGGGAGCTCTCGAAGCCACCCGAGCTTCATTGGAAAAGCGGGGGCTGCCTCAGGGTCCGTTCCGATTCGATCGATCCGGCACGCTATCGGCTCCGGCCAGGTCGATCCGGTTCGATCGCGACACCCCAACGATGCGACGCAGCCCGACGTTCACATGCCACTGTTGGCATTGTTGTGCACTCTGGCGCGGCCGATGCGATCCGAGTTCGACTCCGTGCTGGCGCGGCCCGAGCCGGCGCAAATTCCGATCGTATCCGACTTCGCGATTCTCAGGAGGGAAAAAACACACAGGCACAATTAATTGACGATTCCCTAGAAACTATGGGAAAATATGGGAAGTGGGGGGGAAGACAAAAACCCAGAAAATATTGGGAAAGTACGGGGAATCCTGTTATTTGTGTCTATTTATTTGCGTGTCCCAGGGCCCCTTCAGATTCGATGGTGACCGTTCCTGCCGCTCTTCATTCTGCGCCGTTTCTTCACTGTCTCGTGGCCCGTGAAGGGCCCCAGGGACCCGAAGGCGGCGAACAGGTTCCAGGACCCTTTCTTCCAGAGCACGTTTCACGCACTCCAGCAGTAATAGTAGCAACCAACTAATTCGTCTGAGGTCAGCATGGACTTCTTGGATCTGCGCTGGACACCTCTCTGGCGGCTCCTCTGCCGCCGCCCCTGGTGCGTTCCGCCTGCCAGGCAGGGGAGTCAGCGCCGACCAAGCAGTCCGCGCGGAACTCCAAAAGATTGTGGTTGTGCGGACTTCCTTTTCTTCTGGCATCGGGCCACGGTCACCTCTCAGGACGGAGAAAACACACGGACACAATTCATCGTCGATTTCCCCCCACAAAATATACAGGAAAATATGGGAAGTGGGAGAGAAGAAAATTATCCCAGAGCGACCCTACCTAGGAGTTGGAGCCCCGAAGAGAGAAATATTAGTAGTAACGGTAAACGCCGTCCTCTTCCTCCTCATCGTCGCAGTTGTAGCAGTAGCGGTAGTACTAGTAGTACTAGTAGTACTAGTAGTACTAGTAGTACTAGTAGTACTAGTAGTAGTAGTAGTAGTAGTAGTAGTAGTAGTAGTAGTAGTAGTAGTAGTAGTAGTAATAAGTAGTAGTAGTAAGTAGTAGTAGTAGTAGTAGTAGTAGTAGTAGTAGTAGTAGTAGTAGTAGTAGTAGTAGTTATAGTAGTTGTGGTAGTGGTAGTAGTAGTAGTAGTAGTAGTCGTCGTCGTCGTCGTCGTCGTCGTAGTAGCAGTAGTAGTAGTAGTCCTAGTCGTAGTCGTAGTAGTAGTAGTAGTAGTAGTAGTAGTAGTAGTAGTAGTAGTAGTAGTAGTAGTAGTAGTAGTAGTAGTGTAGCAGTAGTAGTAGTAGTAGTAGTAGTAGTAGTAGTGCAGCTTAGTACCGACATCTACATCTAGACCTACATCCACATCTACACCTACAGCTACATCTACATGTACGCATGTATCTACATATACATATGCATCTACAACTACACTCACATCTACATCTACACCTACATCTACACCTACATGTACATCTACATCTACACCTACACCTACATCCACACCTACACCTACACCTGCATCTAAATATACATCTACAATTTCGCATTGATGTTGCGTTTGCGTTGCATTGCCTTTGCTGTTGCTCTTGTATGTGCGTGATGCCTTTGCCTTTGTTGTTGCCTTTGTTGCGCTATGCTATACTATGATATGCTGCGTTATGCTATGCTAGACTATGCTATGATATGATATGAGATGCTGTGCTGTGATATGCTATGATATGCTGCGCTATGTTATGATGTGACATGCTATGTTATGATATGCTATGCTATGCTGCGCTATGCTATGTTATGATATGATACGCTGCGCTATGTTCTGCGATGCTATGATATGCTATGCTGCGCTGTGATATGCTGTGCTATGCTATGTTATGATCTGATGCGCTATGCTATGTTGCGCTATGCTGTGATATGCTATGCTATGCTATGCTACTGCTGCGCTGAGCTGAGCTAAGCAAAAACTAAGCTAAGCTAAGCTAGGCTAGGCTAAGCTAAGCTAAGCTCAGCTAAGCTAAGCAAAGTTAAGCTAGGCTAAGCTAAGATGAGATAAGCAACGGGACGTAACTGGGGGAACCGCGGGGCGGATAAAGGGGGGGGAACCGCCCGGGGCGGGCCCCACTGCCCGGCCCTTTAAGCTTACCGGGTAAGAACCTTCTAGGCAGAGCCTAGGTAGGGAAAAACCCAGAACACATGGGAATATGGGGAATCTTGCGATGTGTGTCTATTTATTTGTGTGTCCCAGGGCCCCTTCAACCTCTGGCAGCACCTCTGAGGTGGGCAAAGCACGCCGACTGGTTCCTGGAGGCGGACACGGGCGACCAGGCCGCGCTGCAGGACCAGCTGCTGCAGGTCGACGTGCGGCGCAGGCGCGGCGGGGATCGCGAGCCAGTCGGCGGCTACGAAGGGTGTGGTTTCGTGCGGGTGTGGTTTGCGATTTGCGGCGTTGGTGATGGGCCTGTTTTCCACCACCACCACCACCATGAGTTGGAGGGGGGAAGGAGGTGGAGGACGAGCAGGAGGAGGAGGAGGAGGAGGAGGAGGAGGAGGAGGACCCCCTCCCACTTCAACTTCTGGTGGTGGTGGTGGTGGAAGACAAACCCGTCAGTTGGGGTTTGGGGGCACCACGTTGCGCAAAAGGCTCGATGAGCCCTCGTCGAGGCGCGGCGGAGAGCTCTGTCCAGGTGGTCGCCCGCCCCCCAGGACGCGGGTTCAACTCGCATCCACTGCAAACCGTACCCTCCAGAGTCGCCAAACCAATGGGGGGGCGCGGCGACCGCGATCTTGCAGGAGGGCCAAGAGAGTCGCCGAGAAGAAAACGGGCCCTGAGGGAAATTAGTCTTCAGGCTTGACTTCCTGGGCACTCCCTGGGCCCAAGGCCGTAACCAAACGACTCTGGACCAAGATCCCGGTTCTTGGGGCAAGGCCCCAGGGTCCAGGACACGTCTCTTTCAGGCCCCTTCTCCCTAATGCCAAACACGAGGGGCGATGCGCCCCTGACTTGCAGGAGGGCTGAACGGTAGTGCAATGAACTCTGAATTCTTGATACCGGTCGAGGTTTGGATCGAGGCAAACAGAATTGCATAGGCACGCACTTTCGGGAGTCCGCGCGGATGTCTTGGATTGGCGCTGGGACCCCGCTTCTGGTGCCGCCGCTGAACGCGCTCCACGCTCGGGAAGGAGGTCCAGCGTCGATCCAAGAAATCCGCGCGGCCTTTCAAGATGTTTTGCCAATATTCCGTTTTCCGACTGAACTAGGAGACCTGTCTGACCCGTTTCTGATTCTTGGCCGATGCAGCCGGGTGCGATGTTCATTCTGATCCGATCCGATTTCCCGATTCGATGTTGACGTTGGGCGATTGGATCCATACAGAACCACTGCCCCAGGCCTGGCCCATCCTCGGCCCAGCAACGGTGTATACGCCTTCCTGTCCTGGCCAAGGAGGCATATACACCGCTCCTGGGCCGAGGATAGGCCAGGCCTTGGGCAGTAGATATGCATGATCGCCCAATCACAGGTCCTGCCCCCTGGTCAAAGGTTCGCTCAGAGCCGGTCCCCAGGACCTTCCGAGGGGCCGGAGGGGAAAAAAAAAAACACGCAGACACAATTAATCTTCGACTCCCACGAGAATATGGGAAAACCCAGAAGATATTGAAATACGGGGAATATTGTTATTTGCGTGTATTTATTTGTGTGTCCCTGGCCCCCTTGAGTAACCCCCAGGACCCAGCGGGATCGACGAGCGTCCAGAGTCTGGCGGTTGAACCTCCTGGAGGTCGAGGCCCACCTTGCAGCCAAGACGCTGAAGCAAGTACCGGCTTGGATTCAGGAGGGGCTCCTGTTTTCGGGCCTCTCATCGGCGTCACCCCAACATATTTTACTATACGTGGTTCGTCCCCCCCTGGGCGACGCGCGCACCGAGAATTATAGTAGCGCCGTGGCGGGCTCTTTCTGGACACAACACTCCGCAAGCGATATACTACAAGATGGGTATACTATAGATTCGGGTCGGGCGCGCGCCTTCAAGGAGGACATATAGTATTAGTATGGTTCTGCGCGTCCCATCTCAAAGCCAGGTCGGGGAACCTAGCTATGGTACGTGCCAGATGCTTGCCGTGGCCAGAAGAGCCCTTTCGCAACTCCTGATTTGGCGTTGCCCACGGCAGCACGGCGGCTGTACGGAAGGCTCGTATCGTGTCGATTGGCGGTGACCCCGCCGCTGGCGTTCCACGTTGAGCGCCGCCGGCGACCCAGAACCGGTCGATGTTTAACGATCTGGCGTTTCGGAAATGTCCGATCGTTCCAGGTTAAACGATCCCCGCGGTGTCAGAATGCCAACGCCGAAGCCGGCACGGCACGAAGCTGCCGCACCTGCGCGCGGCCGAGCAGGTGGGAGAGGATCCCGCTCGACGTCCTCGGCCAGTACGGCGGCAAGGGCAAGATCGGCACCCACTACAACGGCTACGCCGGCAACAAGGCCCCTGTGTGGGAGCCCGCCCGGCGCGGGCGGCCCGGCGGGGGCGGCGCGGGAGCGCGAGGGGCGCGGGGCCCAGACCATGGGCTCCCGAGTGGGGCCGGGGCGGGTGGGGTCGATCGCGCCGCATCGCCGATGCATCGGCGCCCACGGGAGGGGGAGAGTCGCCGAGCGTCCCCCGGGGGCCCAAGCAGAAGAGGTCGGCCCTCCTGCCCTCGAGCCTGGAGGCGGGGATGAGGTTCAGGTCAGGCGTCCCCGGACACCCTCTGGGCGCGACCCCTCTCGGCATGGCGTTCGGAGGGGGGGGGGCGCACAGGCGGTCACAAGGAAGAGGCACTGGGGGAAAGGAAGAGGAGGGGATTGGAAGGGGGGGGAAGGGAGGGTGACAAAGTGTCTGGAGGGGTCTTCTTGTTTTCGAATGAGCTAGGAGGTTCTGGGGCCTCCAGGGGATGGAGGAGGTGAGGGGAGGACGACGAGAGGTCAGCAGCTGGGGGAGCTTGGGGATGCAACACCAGTCGCAAGGACGGCGGGGATTCGCTGATCAGATGCCCTTGCTTCGCATCCTTCCTTGACATCACGGTGTGTCGATCGTTGAACACAAGCATCACCACCCCGAAACAAGAAAAATTGTATGGGTCTTGCCAGATTCCGTTGCCTGGGTCCTCCTCAGATCCATCTGGTTGGAAGGGATTCTGCGGAAGGAGGAAGAGGCCGAGGGCTCTAACGGTATCCAGAGGTCCCCGGAAGTTCCCAGAGAATTGCAAAGGTTTCCAGTTGTGTCCACAACGAGAAGAAAGGTAGTCATTCAATCTCCCCCCTTCCTCCTTGTCTTGTCCACGACGGTGTGCCTTTCACGGCGTCGGACGCGCTGTAATTTAGTTGATTGCCACGTGAATTCGTCAATTGACCTATTGGTTCAGCCAAGTAGTAGTAATTCTGTTCGAACACGTAGCGCTTTACCATCCGTTCGTTGTCCGTTAGATTCATGGATGAAGCAATGATCGTGGAAGGGTTTGGTTCATCAATCGGCAAGTCTGTTTGATTATTGTTGAACCGGTGGTAGAATGATCACCTGACCGATTGACGTAGTTCGATAATTTGGCAAATTCGAACATATCTGTGTGCTTGCGGCAAGTCCTCCACCGTGCCAGCGAAGTACGTTGTGTGGCGCCCTTTCGAATTAACCCCATTTCTCGTCTCCACTTCTGGGGGAGCTGTCATGGGCACTGTGTGCAGCGTCTTGGGGCTGTCTTGTGCTCCTGTGCGCCAGTCTTGGGGGTCCCTTCGGGCCCCCTTCGGTCGTCTCGGGGCCGTATTTGGGTCATTCGGGCCGTCTGGAGGGACTCTTGGACCAGCTGTGGGGCCGTCTTGGGGCATTTTTGGGCCGTCCAGGGGCCATCCTATGTCTAGGCCTCCCCGATGGGGTCGGGGTAGGTGAGGTCGGAGGATCGCGCCGCATCGCCGATGCATCGGCGATGCGGCTCGATGTGGAGCCCGATATTCTCCACGCGGCCATCGCCGCTGCATCGCCGACGTCGCCGATGCATCGACGATGCATCGACGATGTATCGGCGCGGTGGGATTCTCCGACACCATCTAAACTCGAACCACATCTGGGAGGCCTCTGTTATGCCGCAGTCTTGGGTCCCTCCAGAGGCCCCCTCGGGCCGACGTGGGGCTCTCCGAGGGCCCGCCTCGACCGTCTGGCCCTCGCGGGGCTCTCGGTGAGCTCTTTTTTCTGGCCCTCGAGAAGACCGAGACACTGAAGCATTGAAAGACGAACCTTGCGCGCTTGTAGGGGGCGGGTTTTCGAGGGCCTCATCTGGAGCGTCTTGGGATGGCCGGGGAGCCTCTCGGAGGCCACGTGAGGCCTCGTGAGCGATTCGTAGGAGCTCCGAGGGGCGCGTCACAGAAACTCAGCCACGCGCAGAGGGGGCAGGGGGAGAGGGGAAGGCTTCCCCTGCTTCTTAGAAGGCGCCGGCCTTCTCTATAGATGGGGGGGCGGCGCCTTCGAAGAAGCAGCCTCTTTCTGGGAAGCCTTCCCCCCTCCCCCTACCCCCTTGTGCTCGCCGCCAAGAAATGTTGGGCCATCCTGACCACCTTGGAGGTTCTCCTGGGCCGTCTGGAAAGTCGTCGGAGTGCCCTGCGTTGAGCCGCAGGGAGGCATCTGGCCGCCGAGGAAACCTCGCGAGAGGGGGCCGCTGCATGCATGTGGACGTGAGGAGATGTGTGGGCGTCGGTAGCAGATCATGGCAGCCTGGTATACCCTCTTAATTCTGTCTTCAGCGTCGATTCGCGTCTGAGAGTCGGTGAGATGGCGCCGATCTAGCATCGGTTAGCGTCGATTTGGTGTCGATGTAGCGTCGACTGGCGTCGATTTGCAAGAGTCAACCAGATTGCATGGGAGGCTCCAGTGAGTTGTCACAGAATGGGGGGGACATGAAACGACTTACGACAACCCTACCAGACCACTCTTTGGTATTCCAGTACGCCCCAATGTGCAAGGAGGCACGCTGACGGACGTGTATTGTATGGCAATCGTGCACGGCATTCCTTACATGGTTGATGCATCCGCCTATCATTCAGTAGGTCATTCAACCAGGCAGCCATATTTCTTCATCTGGGAATGTACCACCAAGCGTTGCCTCTCAGAATTATCCGGTCTCGAGTTTGAGGGGTGTGGAGCGTTCGGCGTTGGCCGTGCGGTTGGCACGACAGCATACATGTACTCCTTGTCGGAGGCTTTTGTTCGGCTTGTGTTGTCAACGCCGAATGATGGGAACACCATCCCCCCCAACATCAATCAACAGGAAGGGCGCTTCCATATCATTGAAGCGCACTCGAATTTCGGGAAAGGACGGCACGTTTCGTCTGCAATTGCGCATTTGCGTTGTGAGATCACGGCTGAAATCGTATGTTTCTAGAAGCATTATGATATATCCGCCGGCCCCCTCTCTCGGAGAATGGGCCATGGAAGAGCTAAGTCATGAGGCCTTGGCGCTGTCGTGAAGCAGTATCGAAACTTCATGCGAAGCCGAGTCGCAATCAGCAAAACCAACTGATCACAAGAGGGGTTACCACACCTGGCGATTGGTAAGACGTGTATGGTTTACGGGCTTGGTTACCACACCTTGCGATTAAAGGGCCGAGGGAGTTCTCGCAGTTTGGGTTACCACGCCTTGCGATGGATGTGCGTGAAGGGTGGCACCGAATTTCAGAAATGTGGCAAATCCCATGTGTTTTTGGACCCTGACCCCGCGGATCTGCGTGAGGGGTGGCACCGAATTTCAGAAATGTGGCAAATCCCTGTGTTTTTGGACCCTGACCCCGCGGATCTGCGTGAGGGGTGGCACCGAATTTCAGAAATGTGGCAAATCCCATGTGTTTTTGGACCCTGACCCCGCGGATCTGCGTGAGGGGTGGCACCGAATTTCAGAAATGTGGCAAATCCCATGTGTTTTTGGACCCTGACCCCGCGGATCTGCGTGAGGGGTGGCACCGAATTTCAGAAATGTGGCAAATCCCATGTGTTTTTGACCCTGACCCCGCGGATTGAGTGAGGGGTGGCACCGAATTTCAGAAATGTACCAAATCCTTTGTGTTTTTGGACCCTGACCCCGCGGATCTGCGTGAGGGGTGGCACCGAATTGCAGACATGTGGCAAATCCCCTGTGTTTTTGGACCCTGACCCCGCGGATCTGCGTGAGGGGTGGCACCGAATTTCAGAAATGTGGCAAATCCCATGTGTTTTTGGACCCTGACCCCGCCGATCTGTGTGAGGGGTGTCGATTTCGAGCCCCCCCAGCAATTCAGACAACGCGCCCAGGAGGTGCGAAATATCTGGTTTGGGCCTCCCCCCCCTCGCGCGGTCAATCAACTAGTTCCAGTAACCAGCAAGAAGCAGAACTGTAACACTGGAAACTACAAGCTACAACTGGTACAGGAAACTGCGAACCCGCGCCTACAGCCTGGTGGCCCCACAAGGGGGCCGGCGGATATATATATATATATATATATATATATATATATATATATATATATATATATATTGTGTTATTCTCAGTAGTGCCTTTATCGCGCGTGAAAAGGTTGAGGAGATGTGGCAGGCATGGTCAGTCGTTCAGCGGCATATGTCCTGGAGGGCAGGGAGTGGAAAGGAAGTGGTGACGGCGAGGTAGAACCATTGTATCATTGTTCCATAGTGTACGGCCAGGGGTACGTAAGTTTGTTTCATGTTGACCCGACCAGCTCGACGTAATATTCGAGCTGACCAGCCAGTTCGGGCGAGGGAAAATCAACGTGCTCTACCCTAGCCTAACAGTGGCACTTACCTTTTATATTATGTTTCTTGGTCAGGCTGCAACATGTGTTAGTTGTCGGGCCCACTAGTTCCGCAGATCCAGGATGTCGTACGCTGCGACATCTTGGTTTTGCAGTCTGGCACGGGTCGTGAAATGCCACAGATGTCTACGCCAGCATTCGGATTGCCGTATCATGTTGCATTGGGTTGGTCTGGTTTCGCAGGGCTTGATTTGATGATTACGTTTTCGAAGACGTCTTTCGCTCTCTTGGGAATTGCCGAGGGCTCTCGTGCCATCTCGAAGAGTCCCGCGGCCTTCTGGATGTGTTTTGGACAAGGTGTTGGGAACTTCCTGTGACAACTGGGGTTGGTCTTGGAGCTCTCTTATGGCAGGTTCGTGTCGTGTCGACGCGACGGCCACCCCAGCGCGGGCGTTCACGGTTGTACGCCGCCAGTGGCCCAGATTTGACCGACATCGAACGATTTTGCGTTATCGGAAAGCCGCGATCGCCCGAGGTCGAATGATCCACGCGGCGTCAGAGAATAATGCATAAGTCGTCACGACACGAACTTGTCGTAGTAGGGGTTTCTCATTAGTGTTTGGCCCTGTGGACTCCCGTGGGCGCCTCGTGGTCGAATTGCGCGTGATGTATGGTTGTTGGGTTGTCGCAGGGTAGGCGCCCATGGGCGCCTCGATGACGTC